CCCCAAAACCCCAAAACCCCAAAACCCCAAAACCCCAGTCTGTAATAATAAGTTGAAAATTATCAAAGTAGTACATACTAATGGTTTGGAAACCACTATGTAGCTTTAAAAGGTATGAAATTTGGTTGCACTCTCATGGCTGATCTATAAATCTCTCTGCACACTTGGCCCTTTTCTTGTAAAGGAATTCTTCCGAATTTTAAACGCAACAGGAACCTTAGGAGGTATCGAACTCGTGGTAACTGAAGACTCATGAGATGTTTTATAGTTGTGGTGGTTATTAAGAACTTTTTGAGAGAAATCTGATTCTTTAAGCCCATTCTCTTGGTCTTTAAGATGTTTTTGTCCTATTAACCTTCTTGACTCATATGGGTTGGCAATATCTCCTTTAAGCTGATTCAGTTTGGACATTATTTTATGCTGATATTGCTGATTTATGCTCTTAAGGAGGCGCTTGGAAGCTTTTGCTCCTTTTACTATTTTTATTATTATTGAATGAATACTTACGTTTCTTATCTTCTGACCTGTGTCGAGATCCTTTAGGCTTCTTCTCTAGTTTGATTTCCTAAGGTTTAGTTGGAGCTTACTCTTATTCGGAAATTTATGGGACTTGAGTTTTTACTGCACAGGTTACTGAAAGAATATGTCTGAGCCATCTCTTTGATATGCTTAGAAGGGGTATTAAATTGTAACCCTGACTTGTTAGAGAGGTGAGAGAGAGGAGGATTTTTAGAGGAGTCTACTAGGATCTTTGAGATTTGTGAATTTGATGTGTTCGAGCCTATTTTTATGATTAAAATTTTTATTCATGAGAAAAGTTCCATCATCGTTTGTTAGAAAACAAATTTAAATTTTACCCATATTGTTCCAAAATCTCATTCGAAACATCATATATAAACCCCAATCCTAAACCCTTACCATCTCCTTTTGCACTCTCTGGTTTAAAAGAGCTGTCTGCTTTCCATCTAAACTTAATTATAAAACCTTGCTTACTGGGGGCCTTCAGATTTGCTACTATTCTTAGAGACCTCACTAATGTGGAGGTCGGTGGCTGACCCGCTCTTGTTACCTAGTATTCTTAGTCTTTCTCTTCTTGAGAACTCTTATCTTAGGCTTCTTATTTGTTCTTGGCTTCTTCTTGGGAGGAGGCTTCTGGTGGCTGTACGGTTAGGGAGAGGCTTACAGGTGCAGGCTGGGTTTTAATGGGTGAACTGGGGGGTTTGTCGGGAGAGGTCTGTGAGGTGAGATAGAAGTGAGTACGATAGAGGCATGGTCATCTACTTTGTCCTTAAGTTCTGGGGGTTGACTGGTAGATACCTGTTTGGGCCTAGATTGGTGGTTAGTTTGGGTTTAGTGTATTGATGGTTTGAGATGGAATTTTTGATGATTGATAGAGATAAAAGTTTTCATTAATTATTGGGTCAAAATGAAAAATTAGTTCTGGCAGATATCTCCCACTGCTGAAGAGCAAGAATCTAAGAAATTTCAAGTGAATGATGAATTAGTAAGTACATTTTCTGGCAACTTTCTTCCTTAAAAGTTTGTTCGTCTTCTTCAGCACAAGAGCTATTCTTTTGTTCCTTAATAATCTCTTCGCTCTTTCTAAATAGTCAATAAGATGCTATTCATTATGCTATTAAACCAAAATTCTAAAGCGCTATTCTAGACTTAGACCAACAAAATTCACCGATCTGTATAAACAAAGGATCACCTAATCTGACTTACTTGACTAAGCGATGAAGCTGATTTAGCTCAGGATCTTCAGTCTTGAGCTTTATCATCATCTGGGTAAGATTCATGCCTTCTGAATTTCCTAAAACATGGTTTATTTACTTTAATATGGCACATAAAGAATGTTAATATTCTCGATGGTTCTTTTATAAAATTTCCATGCTATTGGTCCTACTTATTTAACAAATTATAAGCTCAGAATATTGACTAACAGAAATTAAGAAAAGATAATTTATTTTAACAGACGTATTCGGAAAATTTTCTTGGATCTTCACAGCCCGCAGTTGTTTTAAATCTGACTTCCCATGATGCTTGATTTGCTTGTACAAAAAGCAAGCTCAGGTATAACTTCATGGTTGCAGGTTGTTTTTACTTCTATTTAAACCTGAAAAATAACGAATAAATTATCTAGAAAATATGGCATGCTGACTGCATTTTCCAAAGACAATTTTAAGCATGAATCTATAATTATCAACCACCTCTTAGAGTAAAAATTTTGTTCTGGGCTTCTCATCAAAATATGTAGATTGTGCATAACAAACTTGATACATAAGAAGAAGGTGAGTTGTTCAAGTTAGATTAGGAGAGAAAAATAATGATAATTTGCCTTCTGAATTAGAAATTTTCAATCCATTTTTCTAAGAGCTTCTACCTCAAAAATATCAGAAAATTCGAAGGTCCATTAGATTACACCCCTCATAACTAAATTAGAACAAAAATAAAGGTAAATCAACATGCTATATTATTTTCTGATGATCTTATGGTTCTTTATCATAAAGTTCCTCGTCAGAAATGGCTTACCTGAAGTCTTTTCATCTATAAAGGTGATTAGAGTGAATTTTTAGCATAAAATTGAATACAGCTAAAGAACTAAATTTTCAGTAAAATGGATATTTCAGAAGAGTACATATGCTCTGGAGTTCATGCTTGCAACATTTTATCAAATTTTAGTAATAATAACTTGCGAGCTTTCTTTTATTAAAGTTTAAACTATCCAAAACATAGTCTTAATCTTGTAAATTTATTGTACTTACTGGCTCAGCTTGAACAGATCATTATTTTTCTAAGTGCTCGAATCGTTTGACCTTCAAGTTTCTTCTGACTGTTCATGAACGGGAAGGGATTTGTCATTACTATAGCATGTTAAGCATTGATAGAATCTGAAAAATTCAAGAACAATAAGTATGCTTGGATGCGATGAAATAATACAACGAAGGAAGTAGAGAGCAGTTTGTGAAATAGATATACAACTCCATTAATTCTTTCTCCTAAATATACCTTATCGTTACTAAAATTGTTATTTACATTTCTTAGGTATTGAAATTTCACTTGAGTTAAGTAAAACTCAGTTTTTTCAATATTCATATGGAGAAAATTTAAGACTGCTTTTAAAACCATAACCCAACTGTTATATCAAACAAGCTCTATATGATCAGCAAGTATCTAGATTTATCCAAAAGAAGGGAAGCCTAGGCATTATATTTTCCAAACTATGAAGGTTGTTCCATTACGCATGACTACTCTCACCACTCAATTATACCAAAATCTATCACCTTTCTCTCAAGGTTGCTTAAGTCCATCTCACAAATCAGTACCTTGGTGGATATCGAGCGGTTGGGCGTCAATCACTGAAGATAGCTCTGAATCAAGCGGAGTGTTGCTCTTCTTCTCTGACATAATTTATTATAAAATAAGCTCAAATTTTTTAATCAATAATTTCAATAGTTGCCTTCACAGCGGGGTTTTGGGGTTTTGGGGTTTTGGGGTTTTGGGG